TGGAGCAATAATGTTTTTCTAGACTGAGTCTATCATTTTATAGTCTCTCCATGCCTCCTGCCCTCTGACGAGTCACTCTCTCTCCAGTGCTCAGCATCTTCGGGCCAGAATCACTAGCTCCACTGGGTTCCCATCCCTCCGTCCAGTGGGGGTGGTAAGTGCTCAGGGCTGACACCCAGAGGCTGCAAGGCAAGGGCGTGCACTCCGACGGCTGGGTCACACTTAGAGCTGTGTGAGCTTGGATGAGTTACTTAACCTCTTTGAGCTTCAGGTTCCTCGTTGGTAAAATGGTGACACCCCATAAGGTTGTGATGAGAATTAGGAGAATTAAGATAGGCAAAGCATGCTTCCAATGGTTACCAATAGCCATTATTAGGCATAGAAGTAGGGATCTCTCATAGACACCCCTACTCACATGCTCCCAGACACTGCGGTGTGTCCTCACTACTGTCTGTGCTCCTCTCGGATCATGTGTGCCCTTTGGGCATGACAGCCAGGCATCACACGCCCCACCGTGCGGTCTCGGAGAGAAGTTTGCTGAGGCCCCAAGAGGAGGCTTTGTCAGCCAAGCAAGAGGCAGGACTGGAGGTGAGTGGCCTCATTCTCAGACTCACAGTCATTAGCCACATTAATGGTTTTAAGTTTTAGCTAAGGAGGAAGCACTCTCAAGATACAAGTCACATGAAACTAAGTCTGGCTATGTGTGTTGTGCTTAAACGAAGCAGTTTATGACGTGGGTATTCAATTTCTGTAGTCTGTTCTAAATTTAAGCATGCAAAATGTCAAGCTATCTCACTATTCTGCTTGAGTTAAAAAAAAAAAGACTTAGACTTATGGCTGGATGTTATAAGAACTTCTGCTTCATTTCAAATCCTGGCAGGCCCCTCAAAAGCAGCCACTGATCGGTGAGTCCCTTCCCGAGCCTAAGGCCAGTGTGCTGGTCCTGGAATGAACACTGGTGACCAGATCCAAACCCCCCACATCTCCAGGGGAGGCCTGGAGACTCCACTGCTGTTGGCACCACCTGCACGCCTCATCCCTGCGCCCCTCACCCCTGCACCCAGGATGTCTAGGACTTAAAGAAGGTATCAGGATAAAATATGCATCTGTTGGTTTTTGTTTTCTTAGATAATACCATGCCATTTGCTTACCAGAGGCCTGATGAGAAAGCCTTGTGATAACTGAAAATCCTCTCTAAACAAAGGAAATGGGACCTGCGACCATTGTTTTTTTCATTTTCTAACTGGGCCTTGTTGCACCCTCTGTCTAGTATAGATAAGAAGACGTATTTGCTTTTTTGTCACATAGAGCAAAAATGGCAGAACCCTGTGGTGTATCTAGTACTTCTGCAGCCTGATTAACAGTGTTGTCGATCATAAATTGTCAATTGCTCTCCTCAACGCCACAAGAGGTGCACCAAAAGCCTCCCAATATAGAGCCGTCCCCCGATAGGTTCACAGTTGCAATCTCATCTCTCCATTTTAATTCTCAGCATGTTGCTCTCTGACAGTTTTCCTGTTTATCTTCTGTCTTAAGAGTACAAGAAGGTAAACTCCTAAGTCAATCTTGTTCACAGCTGTGTCCACCGAGCCCAGAACTGTGAGGTGCCCAGCGCCCAGGGCTCTTTGCAGCTTCTGCTGTTACCCAGGAAAGGCCATGAAGCCAGTGGGGAAGCGAAGAGGCATGGAGGAGGAGCACGTGGATGGCCACGGGGAGAGAAAGCCACATTCGGGAGAAACCCAAGGAAGGGAAACCAAAGAAAGGCGAGTGCTGATGAGGAGGGTAGAGGAGAGTTGGGAAGCGTGGCTACCTCCTATTTCCCTTTCTGGACCTATCAAAATAAATAAGAACTTCAAGTCTGAACTGAGCATTTCAGTCCATGTGTTTCTCAGGCAAGCTGCGTGACATTCACATGCCCCTCTTTCCCTGGCTCTGCCCCCGGGAGCAGCCCACCACGGCTGCTGGAATCCCCCTCCTGCTTCCATCAAGCCTTCACTCGCTGCCGGGGACCGTGGGCATCAGAGGGCACGCCGCGCAGCTGTTTGAGGCACGACACGCTCTCCGGCCACCTGTGCCTGCCCCTGAGTCTGAGAGTGAACATCACCACGTGGGCCTTGCACACAGACCTCCAGAGCACTGGCGATTGAAGGGGCAGGGGCTGCCGACAGTGCACTCGTCTATGCGGGCTGCCCTAACGAAACCCCACGGACTCGGTGGCTTAACAGAAATGTATTTTCTCACAGTTCTGGAGACTGGAAGTCAACGATCAAGCCACTCACTGCAGGTTTGCTTTCTCCTGAGGTCTCTCTCTTTGGCTAGCAGACAGCCACCTTCTCCCTGCGTTTTTCCCTCTGGGCACATTCCCGGCGTCTCTGTGTCCACATTTCCTTTTCGCACATGGACACCAGCCAGATTGGATTAGGACCCACCCTACAATGGCCCCGGGTTAACTCAGTCACCTCTGTAAAGGCCAAGTCTCCAGATACAGTCAAGTTCTGAGGTAGTGGGGGTGAGGACTTCGATGTACGGATTTTGGCAGGACACAATTCAGCCCACAACAAGCGGTGTAGAAGCACAGAACATGGCGTGCCGTTGGCTTTAGAGGTTTGAAGGTTAAGAGGTGGAAAGGAAGATGCAGTAGCAATGAGGCAGGTCTGGAGTTTAGAACTATCAATTGGGAATAGGATTGTGTCATGGATTGAATTGTGCCCTCAAAAAAAGATACGTTGAAGTCTTAACCCTCAGTACCTCAGAACGTAATATTACTTGCAAATAGAGTTTTTACAGATGTAATCAAGTTAAAAATGAGGTCATTAGGGTGGGCCCTAGTCCAATATGACTCACATCTTTATAAAAAGGAGAAATTTGGACACAAACACGCACAAAGGGAAGACACATAGGCAGAAGGACAAGGAAGACGGAGGATGTATTTACAAGTCAGGAATGCCGAAGCTTGCCAGCAAACCACCAGACGCTAAGAAAAGGCCCGGAAGGGTCCCACTACAGCTTTCAGAGGCCCTGTGAAACCTTCTAGCATTCAGGAACTGTCAGAGAATACATTTCTGGAATCCTAAGCCACCTGCATGTCCCTAAGCCACTTGCATGTCCCTAAGCCACCTGGTCTGTGATGCTTGGTTTCGACAGCCCTGGGAAACTACTACAGATTGTGTCTGAGACCTTGGACCAACCACCCCTGATCCAGCCATCAGCCTGCCAACACCTGCGCAAACCCAACTGGGGCAGGTCACACATGTGGCAGAGGCAGCTGGACACCATGATGCTGGGAGGGGCGCCTCATGTTCACAGCTGACCACTTCCAGCCAGTTCTTGCCCACCTAAATGACAAACCCAGACCTTGTCAGTCAGTCAAGAGCACACAGAGACCTTGCCTTGTACCATGAGACAGAAGTCACTCCTGGTCTTTGGGCTCTGCTGTGGTTTGCATGTCCCTTCCAAACCTCATGTTGAAATTTAATTGCCACTGTGACAGTACTAAGAGGCAAGGCCTCTAAGAGGTGATCAGGTCATGAGGGCTTTGCTCTCATGAGTACATTAGAATGGGAATGAATTATTTATCACAGGAGTGAGCTCCTGATAAAAAGGGTAAGTTCAGCCCCCTCCCTCTCAGTCCCACACGCTTACTGGCCCTTCCCATCCCCCTTCCCCGGGATGACACAGCATGAAGACACCAGACACCAGCCCCTCAACCTTGGACTTCCCAGTCCCCAGAACTGTGAGAAATAAATTTCTGTTCTTTATAAATTACCCAGTCCTGGGGATGCTGTTATAGCAGCACAAAATGGACTTAGACAGGCTTTTAAGAATCTTTCTCACTTCTCATCCCTGGGAACACACCTATGCTGTGTCCTGGGCTGGGTTCGCTGCTTGGCAGCAAAACTTCCCACTCGGTGCCCAGTCTTTGGTACCTTAGTTTTTATTTTCTTTTTACCTGGCTTCCCCTTGTTCAGTGTACTTGGAGCAAGATAGTTTGCCATAAAAGCAAGACAATCCACACCTCTTATTTCTGCACAGAATTGAAAAGAAAATAAATAGGCTTGGAAAATAAGCTCTGCAAGGGCAGGGATTTTTGTTTTGTTCCTGCTGATGAATTCTAAGCACTTGAGTGAATATTTGTTGAGTATGCACTGAATAAAAATATGTTGAATGTATAATGATAGATAATTGAGAAAACACTTATGTATTCTGAGCAGCTCTCAATAATTAATCAGTAAAGTATATAGAACTTGAGCTGTTCAAAGTGGACTGGTAGCATTTCAGAATACAGGCAATCTCATTTTAAAGAATGAACTGATACGTTTTAAAATAAAATTTGTTGAATCTTCCCCTAAATCTACTGCTTCCCCTGCAGCCCTCTTAAGTGATGGATGCTTTTCCCCAACAGCCCTCACACCACTTGACCTAGAAGTGGGTTAGGAGCCCTCCTTATTTCTTGACTATTTTAACCCCAGGAGCACTGTCATTCTCTATAACATGTGCCCCTATTAATTTATGTGGATTTACTTAAAGATTATTTTTCCACCTCCCCAGACTCTCACTTCTTTGAATTTCTCTACTCCAAAAACCATCTTCCATTCTGCCTTACTTCTTTTTCTTAGATACATTTATGACCAATATTGACACTACTCATAATCTTACACATCCCACTCTGCCACCTTTAATCACGCCAGTTCCCTCCTTCCAGTCCCCCAGTTCCAACAATCCTTAGAGCCCACCAGGATCTTCCATCTATTGACCCTACCACTTTTCACCACTCCTCACCCACTTGATATCCTATTTCCTCACCTTCCCCTGCTCAATACCATGATTAATCATTGTACTCACTCCCTACATGCTCAACTCTCTTCCGTCTCCATTGCCATGCTGGCTTGGCAAAGAAACAATCTTGGATAAATGGCAACCTCTGTTTCCCTGATGTCTGCCCTCCTGTGGTTGAATATGGCTGGGAGAAAAAAATCCACAATCTTGCCAGTGGGTCTCACCTTAAATTCATGACCACAAATCTCAAATGGGCCTTCGATGCCCCGGGGCAGTTGTCATGTACTCCACGAATCGATTCACCCTTCCACTTTTCTAGATGAGAATTTCAAACTTTTCTTTTTCCCAGACCTCTCCCCAGCGCCTTTCCCAGCGCCTTCTCCCCATCCTCTTAGCTGATGACCTCGCCTCCTACTCCACTGAGAAAACAGCGCATGGCAGGGGCTTCTACCGAGTCTGCCGCCACGTCTGCCCGCCTGCCAGCACCTGCGCATGCGCCTCTGTCTCTTCCGGTTTCGCAGATGAACCGTCCGTGCTGCTATCGGAAGTCCCTCCCTCCACCCTGCCTTCATCCCAGCCCCTCTTATCTGCTCAACGGCATCAATCCATCAATTCTTTCCTCCCCCTTGCATCAGGAATTTTCCCTATGTATATTTTCCCCATCTGAGGAGGTGGGGAACCAAATAAAAACGTGTGACCTGACTTCTCTCACCGGGCGCTGCCCCATTTCTCTGCTCCGTCTACACTCACTGACCCTCCTCCCTGGGTCTCTCAAATCTCCTGTGGGGCTTTCACCTACACCAACCACCAGAGCTGCTCTTGTCAACGTCGTCAGTGTCCTTGTATTGACCTTATGACAGTGTAGGACCAGTAGCTCTGCCTTTTCAACAATACTTGGTATTGCCAGACTTTAATTTTTGCAAATTGAGTATTGAGAACTTGTATCTGTTTAAAATTTTAGTTTCCATTTTCTAAATGGCAGTGAAGTTGATCATCTTGTCCTGTGATCATTGGACTGTTTGTACTCTCTCTTCCATTATGGGCATGTTCATTGCCTTTCCCATTTTTCTATTTAGTTGTTTATCTTTTTCTTATTGATTTGTAGAATTTCATTTTATATTATGTATCCTAATCTTTTATCATTTTATGTGCTACAAATATCTTCTTCCCAAAGAGATTTTTTTCAAGTTCAATGGCTTCTTATGAATAGAAAAATCTTAATTTTAAGACAAAGTCTCCACTGTCTGTGTTTTCTTTTAAGTTTAGTACTTTTTGTGACTTGCTTAAAACTTCTTTATCCTGAGGTCATAAAAATATTGTCCTACTGTAAAATTTTTAATGTTTTATATTTCACATTTTAGTCCTTGATCCATCTGTAACTATCTTTGTGTATGGTGTGAAGTAGGGATGCATTTTCTTTTTTTATATATGAATAATCACTTGTGTTAGCATTTATATTGTCTACATTTTTCTCTTGGTCTACAGTGCCACCACTGGTGCGCTTATCAGTTTTGAGGGGTGTATTTCTGAGCTCCCTTTTCAGTTCTGTTGGTCTATTTGTCTATTCTTGCACAAACACCACTCTTTTAATTACTATCATTTTAAAATTAGTCTTTGTATCTTAAGGAAAATCCCTTCACTACTTTTATTTTTATTCAAGAGTGTCTTGGCCATGGTATTTATGCAAATTTAGAATCAACTTTACAAGGCCCAAGAAATCACCTACTGAGATTGGAGTTACATTTCTTTTATTGGTCAATTAGGGTAGAAATGATACCTTTTTATATTTAAGTCACCCTACCCATGAACATATTGTCTTTCTAAATTAGTATAAACTTTTAATAGCCTTAAGTAAAGTTTTTATTCATGAAGATCTTTCATATCTTTTGTTAGATTCATCCCTCAGTGTCAGTTATTTTTATAGTGTTTTAAATAGTATCCTTTAAAAGTTATATCTTCTAATCTTTGTTGCAAGGTATATATATTTTTGCATTTTGAGTATAGCAGCAATCTTGATAATTCTCTCTTGTTAGTTCTCATAATTAGTCTGTAGATTTGGGGAAGTTTTTTTTTTTTTTGAGATAGAATCTCACTCTGTTGCTGGGGCTAGAGTGCAGTGGCATCAGCCTAGCTCACAGCAACCTCAGACTCCTGGGCTCAAGCAATCCTTCTGCCTCAGCCTCCGGAGTAGCTGGGACTGGAGGCATGCGCCACCATGCTTGGCTAATTTTTTCTGTATATTTTTAGTAGGCCAACCAATTAATTTCTTTCTATTTTTAGTAGAGACAGGGTCTTGTTCTTGCTCAGGCTGGCTTCAAACTCCTGACCTTGAGGGATCCACTCACCTCCGCCTCCCAGAGTGCTAGGATTACAGGCGTGAGCCACCGCCCCCGGCCTGGGGAAGTTTTTCTGTAGGGAAAATCCTATTATAGGAAAATAATGATACTTGTGTTTCTTCTATTCTGATCTTCATACTTTTGGTTATTTTTATTTTATCATATAGTCAGGGCTACACTGGAAACAGTGCAATTGGACCACAGGTTATAGCCAGTGTGGGATGGGCCAGCATCCTTCTATTTCCAATTTTTCAAAGGAACCAACTGATGAATACACATGTGCACAAAGGGGAGTAACAGCCAGTGGAAATCAACTGGAGGGAGGAAGGATGGGAGAGACAAAAACTCACCTAATGGGTACAGTGAACACTATTTGGGTGATGGGCACAGCTATAGCTGGGACTCAAGCATTACAAAAGTGATCCATGTAACCTAAAACATTTGTACCTCCTTAATATTTTAGGAAAAAAAAATAATCAAGGACAAAAAAATGATGCTTCTAATGTTTCACTAATGAACCCTTAGATTTAGAGTTAGGATTAGGTTTTGTTAGGAATCCTTTATCAGATTAAGAAATATTCTCTCTGTTCCAAATTTGCTAAGAGATTAAAAAAATTTTTTTTAATCTTAAAGGATGTTAAATTTTATTAACTGTTTTAACTGAATGTAGGGGGGCATATTCTATTTTCTTTTCCTTTAATCTATTAGTGTGACAGATTACATTGTTTGATTTTTAATAGCCAACTACCACTGCATTCTTGGAACAAACCCAGTTCGGTCATGTTGTATTATCTTGTTATGTATTACTGGACTTTATTTGCTAATATTTTGTATAGAACTTTTGCTTTTATGTACATATGTAAGATGGGACTTAATTTGCATGTATTCTACTGTCTTATCTGGTTTTGGAATCAATATTTTACTAGCCCTAGAGAAGGAGTTGGGGGAATGTTTCCTCTTTTTTATTCTCTGGAAGAGTTTGTGTAAGTTGAAAAAAATTCTTCCTTGAATATTTGATTGAATTGACTCCTAAAAGGATCTGAGTCTAGTGTTTCCTTTTGAGGAAGGTTTGGGATTTTTTTGTTTGTTTCTGTTTTTAATGTTTTTTTTTTTTTAGAGCAGTTTTTGGTTCACAACAAAATTGAGCAGAAGGTACAGAGAGTTCCCGCTGCCCCTGCCCCGCCCCCTGCACAGCTTCCCCCGTTGTCAACATACCCGGCCAGAGTGGTGCATTTCTTACAACTGATAAACCTACATTGACACATTGTCACCCAAAGTCTATAGTTTCCGTTAAGGCTCACTTTTGGTGTTGTACATTCTATGGATTTGGACAAATTGATGACGACGAGTACCCACCGTGAAGTATCATACAGTAGTTTCACTGCCCTAAGAATCCTCCGTGCTCTGCCTATGCATCCCTCCTTTTAGGGAAGGTTTTAAAATACTGATTCCCTTTTCCCCCCTCCCCCCACAAGTCTGAGTTTGCAGCATGACCATCCCCCAGATGGTGCACATCATTTGAAACCTTAAAATCTGTACCCCCATAATATGCCAAAATAAAAACAAAATCTTGATTCCATTTTTCTTCGTGAGTTAGTTTTGGTAAATTATATTTTTTAGAGAATTTATCCATTTTTCTAAGTTTTCAAATTTATATATTCAACAACAGTGAGCCCCCACCGTGTGTGAGACATGGTTCTATTACCAGCATGCAGTAGCGAGCACAAACAGGTGAGAACCCCGTCTCAGCAGGGTGACATTCCCCGTGTTACACTGTTCCTACTATTTTCTCTTTATCTTTGATTTCTTTGTATCCATAGTTATAGACTCTTTATTTCTAATATTGTTTTTTGTATATCTTTCTCTTCCTTTTTTTCCCCAGGTAAAACTCACCAGAGATTTGTCTATTGCATTAACTGTCACAAAGACCTACCGTTACCTTGGCTTCAGAGTTCAATATATGATTGCCAGGTCAAGTGTATTACATGTCTTTGCTTGTCAATTACTCTTTGCGGATCTATCAAATTTCCTTTCTATATTCTAAACTTCTCTAATAGATATATACAAATTTAGAATTTTATGTTCTGCTGAAGTCAACTTTTTTTAAATTATATTCTGGCCTTCTGTTCTTTGCCTCAAAATTTTGACTGATACAAATAGAGCTACCGTGACTTTATTTGGCTTAGTATTTGCCTAAAATATTATTGGTTTTGTCTTTTTATTTTAAACCTGTCTATGCTTTTATGTTTTAGGTATGCTATGTCTTAGAATATAGCAAAATATTGTTTTTGATAATTCCTAACTTTTGAGTAGACAATTCAGCCTATTTTCATGTCCTGTGGTTACTGACATATTGGAATTTATTTCCAACATTTTATTATATGCTTTCCCTTTGTCCCAATTTTTTATCTTTTTTTCCCATTTGTCCCAATATTTCTTCCTTTTTGGGAGGAACAGATTAAATTTCTCCTTGTATTCTAGTCTTGTCTACTTTCCTAACTTGAAAGATATCATTCTATTTCTTCTTTTCTAATGGTTATTCTAGACACTACAACATGCAGTCTGAACAAATGTAGCATTCATATATTTAAGTCTCTTTTCAAATAATGCAGGACCTTAGGAAAACTCCAATAAGAAATTTTCTGTTGTGATCCTTTTTTGACTCCACAATTTAGATATTATTTTTTATAACATCGATTTTAGATTTTTCAACATTTACAATTTAAAAAAAATTTAGTTACCCTTTTTTCTGTATCTCAGACCTACCTTCTGGATTTTTTTGTTTGTTTCTTTTCTCTTTCTCTTTTAGTAAAATCATTAAATTTTCCATTAGTGAGTGTTGGAGGTCAACTTTCTTAGTGTTTATCTGAAAATGTCTTAATTTTGCACTTGTTCTTGAGAAATAGTTCTTAGTGTATCAATCCAGGTTGACATTTGTTAATATTTTATCTCAGCATTTTGAAGATTATTTCCTACTGTTTCCTGACTTCCATCATTGCTGCCAAGTCAGCTGTCAATCTAATTGTCTGTCACTTGTTTGTGGTTAACTTTGGTTTCTCACTGGCTATAGTAAAAGATGTTTTGCCTCTGATTACCTTTATATGTAAGTATCTGAGTTACCACTGTCCCTT